AAACCACAGCCCAGACGAGAGTACAATACCTGTCAGTATGGGTAGAAAGTAAATATTCCACCAGGCTTGTGCATAGTGGAACTCCTAGGGGACAATTCTGTTGAAACTAATGATTACATTTATCACTAGAAGTCCCTATCAACCCCATCTTTTCAATACACGCAGAATTTTCTTTTGAATGGACTTTTATACAGCCTAACTCTACTCTTAAAAGCTTTATATAAAACATGAATATAGTATCTACAACAGAAGAGATGACATCCAGTACAGGAAACAAAGCTAAATGAAGGAAAGAGATGATGAAAGGACATGTAGTCTAACATATAACCAATGACTTAAGGTTCATCACAAAGATAAGTTTGAAGAATCAGATAAATTTGAGATAAGGAGTAATAGATGGTGAGCAAAGTTAGGATACTGATTGGGGAGGGGCATGAAGGAAAACTTTGGCATACTGGTAGATTTATTTTGGTGCTAGATACATTAATGTATCACATATATAAAAATTTATAAGCTATGCAACAAAGCGTGGGACCATCTAAACATACTATTATTTATGGATCTCCTATAGAATTGCCTCAATTTAAATAATAAAAAAATTTTTAAACTAAGCATTTGAAAAATCCTAAAAGTCTTCCCTCCAGATATTCTGCAATGATACCATTTTTTTCAATCAAGATACATATACACATTGCAAGATCCATTCAAATCTAAATTTTAAAAATCATAACCCAGCACAAGCTGTTCTCTCTGCCAAAAAGCAGAGAAGGTGTTGTCACATTTCATCTCATTCATAACAGATGGAGATGACAAATAGAAGTATTTTAGGAGAGAGACTGACAAGGAAATTTGGCAGCACAATTCTCATCTTTTGTTCATTAAGCAGAATCACACTATGGTAAATTGGATTGTTGTTCAGAAAATAGTCACCCCCTCCCTSGACCGCCATAAGAGTCTATTCTTCCACTCCACCCTCCATGGGCTTGGCCATGTGACTTGCTCAGCCAGTAGGATGTTAAGATACATGATATAACAGAGCCTTGACATGGATTTGTGCATTTGGCCTTGCCTTCTTGTGCTACTGGCTTTTGTCCGCACAGGATGAGAAATACATGGGACAGATATGGACCCAACTTGGAGCTTGGCACCTACATCAGCCCATTCTGTTCAATAGAATCCTAGACAATCTGCTGATGTGTGTGGATGAAATTAATGCTTGGTCTCCTATGGAACTGTCTCAATTTCAGGTTGATTCATCACTGCCCAAGGTTACTTCATGGAAGAGTCTGGACTTAAATGATGCAGAGGTTGAAGGGCTCTGAGGAGAGACAATTCCCAGCACACCCCATGAGTCTCAGTCCAGCTGAGTCTGTCATTCAGACAACATCGAAGCATCTTCYCCCGCTATACAATCCTGCTCCATCCTTTCTCTTCCACAGGTGTTGATCCCAAAGGAACTTGCTAATAATTTTTTTGAATGAAGATCATCATTAGACTCTGTTCCCCAGGGAAGCCAACCTGTTATATGTAGCATTATTAAACTAATAGCTGATATGTATGTATGTGTGTATATGTGTGTGTGTGTGTGTGTGTGTGAATTCAATACTAATTATTGATTTGCTCAGAAACAATTTTAGTGAAACTTTAAATTGATAACTTCAGCACAAGCTGGGTATAGTACCACCACCTACAGTTGCAGCCACTCAGGAGGCTGAGGCAGGAGACTGAGCTCTGGAGTTTGAGGACAGTCTAGGCAACAAAGTGAGACTCTGTCTCAAAAACAAAAAAATAAAAATAAAGCTATAATTCTAGTACAAATTACAACATTCAAAACATTGTACCAAGGGAACAGGGGGATATAGCTCAGTGGTGAAGCACTTGCCTAGCATGATGAGGCCCAGGTGTCAGTCTCTCCACAGCAAAAAAACAAAAAACTCCCAAATCATGTCTATCTAAAAATTACTGAACATAAAGATTTTTCAAGCAGAAGGTGAATAGAAACTCTTATGAGTAAATCTCACATTATGATCAAGGCAAAAAAATTATATATAAAAAGCATGCATTCCCTTTCAATTTTTGCTTCAAAAGGAGCAAAATATTGGGAGAATCATATTGCACATCCTAAAAGAAACTGCAATACATTAGAAGGATTGGGACCACAAACCACTCCCAAGGCAAACAGCATAATCTTTTGATCCTAAGTTGGGGTACAGATCAGTGACTGAGTATCAAGGTGAGGCCCTGGGCTAGATCCCCAGCTCAACCCCCACAAAACTTTATGACCTCATTTCCTTGAAAATTAACTCACAGTTCAAMATACATGAGTTAAAGGAATATTTACAATCTTAAATGTTTATAATGGAAAAGAAGACAAATGAAAATTAATTGGCTTAAAAATGGTAATAAGAAATTGAAGTGCTGTGGCTGTAGCTCAGTGGCAGAGCACTTGCGAGGCATAT